AATGGAAAATAATTGTAGTGCATGTTCGAGCTTGTATACAGCTTTAGCGGTAAATCTGAATGGAATTCTCTGTAGAATATAAGTCGAGAAAATGATTGCAGACTGAAAGAAAGACTGACGGGTATCACTGTAATCGGAGTACGGTAAAATCTATCTGGCCATCCTCGACTCTCTTAACATTAAGTGTTGATTCATGGCGCAACAAAGATCCAGATAATGAAAGATGACAAAGGTTTGAAAATGGAATATGGTGACAAATATTATTGGCGTCCCTTGGACGGCAAACGGTAGGAAGGGATGTTCATGAAATTGTGTAAATCCCCAACAATCAAGAGACCACTGACAAATAGGTAGCTTATGAACAGCTAAGCAGTTCTCTTCTTTTCCTAATACGTTTCGAGGAAAATCATTACTTCAGACGTGATGAATGCTTCCCCAACCTGATGTACCTTTCCTACATCGCCATATAGTTTGCGGAGAAAATATTAAGCGAAATGATCATGAACATTTTGGCCCTCTGCTACACACTTGCTCCAGAGCGAGTCTCTGACTTCCCATCTGGGCATATGGAGTGCGTACCTGTCCTATTCTGATCTTGAATCCCTGTGGTTAATGGAATTAAGGACCATGGCTTTCGCCGAAGATCGAAGCCGGTTTAGACAGTGTTGTAATAATCTGGCCATATCCTTCCTCACGGCACTTGAAGTCACGCATTCGATGAGCTTACCTCAAAATGGTTGTCATATTAACCTCGACCGACTTCACAATTAATGATCTCGTTGATGGTGCAAGGTGAAATGAAAGAGTTAAAATAAGCAACGAGTTCCGACACATTCAGGTACCATTAGACACGGTATCGAAATCTGAATCAGTTGACTCAGACTTCCACGAAAAGTGACTGCTCCATATCAAACTATTCAGTGGGCGGTTTCTAGCCAGTCCTGTGATGGCTTCGTCGGTTGACATGAAAGTTATTGATGACACTTAAAAAAGACTATTACATGTTAGAAATAGGCAGTATCGAAAAAAGTTGAATACACAGGTAATGCGTTACAAACGACTTCTCGCTTGAGTAAATCCTTTCTTAAAATGAAACTTAAAAGAGCAAACGCTTTCTGGACCTCAAAATGTTCGTTCTGTGCGGGTTATGTCTGTATATATACATACGTAGGTGCACATATGCATATGCATATGTGGGTAAACGACATATACATGGAGGAATTCAATGCCAAGTCAGCAGATCGATAGAACATGGTAGTTAGGGGAGGTTAGCTGGAAGACGAGGAGTGATTGTTGTACGCAACGGTCTGACCTAGCGGAAAGAAGTGCCGTACCTCGACGAACATTTGCTGCTATCCGATACGATAACATCAGAATGTGACTGAATTTGGCATTCATATATGACTTAACAGTGAATAAGAGCTAAGAGCGCCTTCTAGCCTTGTTCTGAAATGCTGGTCCACGGAAAAGTGGTTCCAAGCAGCGTGGCGCAAATGTCAAAAATGATTGGATGCAATAAATGACCAAAATGACCATCTGGCAGGCCAATTATGGACTTGTTCGACAGACTTTCGAGCCAAAGCGGAGTTTGATGTCGCATCGCCTGTCGACTTTACGCCGCTCTGTAATAAGAGCTCGAGAAACTCGGCAGAATCGTCATAAATGGCCGCGATACAAGTTTAATCGCTGATCCATTGCTCTAAAATGGCCATACTCCTCGTTGAACAACGCCTGAGGAACGAGGTGGCCACTTATGGATTCGAGGACGACTCGAACCATACTTTTAATGACCAGAAAAACTGCTTGTTCGTGAGGCTTGAAACTCCGCATTGTCATCCTTCGCATTGAAATTCAGCAAGGTTAAGTACGTTCTGAGAATGCATGCCAATTTAGTGCCAATAGATTATTGGAGTGGTCGGCTTATTAAATATTTTAGACTCGTTCCGTGTTTCCAGCTATCGATCTGGAAACGTTATTATTTATTGGCCTCCAGTTTCTGGGCATAGACTGATTTTTAGAAATTTGTACCACTGCACGCTATCCGACAAATCTGGAATAGGCGGACAATTGTCCGCTAATTTTTTCTCATTCCATTTAATGGCCTGCATTACAGCTATATGGAAAGATCAGTCGTACCGTCAGGCAAAATTATATGGAAACTAGGGTGATTCCAGTTATGAGGTCAATATTGTGGAACAGCTGTTTATTGCTGCTGTTACGGCTGTCGGTTCAGCCGGCTCCAGTGACGTCATAAATTGCAGGTTTCCACCTGTCATTCCTGAGCAGTGTCTGCTACCAAGTTCAGCCAGTTCGTCTTCCACCGGTTGCACCGGAACTCAATCAGAGCAAAGAATACTTCAGCACTAGTCCTGACAGTATCCCGCCAGGTCATATCTGTTTATTGCTTTTCAAGGATCGCAGAGGCTTTTAGTGTAACGGAGGTGATGTCATCTGATGAACGTCTCAACGCCTGCCCCAGCCACGTGTCGCCATTATTTCAGAAGGACTGACAATTAGTGGTGCTGCAACGGGCACGAATTATGGCCGATGTGTCTTGTCTGTGAGATGGTTCATAAACACCGATGGTCGAAGGATTCTAGTTTCCTCGCATGTTTCACTTTTCTTGTGAGTTCAGCTCCCACAGCCATTAAGAATAATGGGGAGGATGAGGGCCTGCAGAACTCTGCATTTCCCTTCGTTTCCACAGCAGCTTACAGGCCGGAGGAAATCTCCTTTGATGCTGCTATCCTAGCCGTAATTCCATCTTCAAACTGCCCATTTGGAAAGATAGAAGAGCAAAGGTATCACAAGTAAGAGGGACACGCTGGAGGATGAAATTTTTTGTGCCCCTGGCTTCTTTTGTGAGAATTCTGTTTTTATGAGCTGATGAGCAATCGCATTAGTGTCGCTACATGGTGCAACAGTGCATTGATGGATCTGCATCTTCTCTGAGTAAAGGATGACAGTAAATTTGACAGTATTCTTCGGTATTTTTTGACCGATCATTTAGCAGCTTAAAGATCGAGGGCAGGCCCTGATGAATACTGTAATGATAGTATGATGATACCAAAGAATCTTTTTCAGTAATACTTCTCGTACCTGATGCCTAGCTATTGTCATCGTTTATTTTCCTTGATACAATCCGTTTTAGAGAACTCATATTACATCAATAATTTTGCTGCGAAACAAGTTATAGTGCAACTGCATATAAAAAATTTATTAGTGAACAGTTTTTGTGGTTGCTGATGCTTAGGTACAGAGAAATTCATGAACACGGAATACTAAGTTCCGCATGCATCTAATACGTACGTCCGTACCATGGGTATTTTGATAGTTGACTAATTGATCTAAAGCCGGGTTTCACGGCGCATGGCACTGCTCCTTTCTACGGGAAGCCCATGAAGCCAGTGAAGCAGACCATACTTTAAAGGTAGGTACCATGCCATACGTTTGGATGTGTTAAGCGGTCATTAGCACACTCACACGTACAAAAAAAATATTTTAGTTTTGCGGAGATGTGTATTCGTCGCAGTTAAAGTATCACTCATACTTAATAAGGTACTCACCATTAAAACCATGTCAGATACAGAAACACGCCGCAGATGCTCAAGTACCATTGAGCTGACAGCTGCTTCAGTCCTGCCCTCACGGTACAGCAGATCCGACAGAAAGCCATCGGCGATGATTGTGTTACGCGCATGTTCAACATGACATAGCAGAGAGCGAATAAATTTATTTGTAAAATATTCCGCATTAATTTTTCAAGGATTATTTCCCTTCTCTCGAGAAATGCAAGTCGTCATTCTAGTGATCTTCCCACGCAGTCACTGACCCATGAAATCGCAGCTCCGGTGTGCACCTACGGGATATACAACGACTTGAACAGTGAGGAGCGCGCTCGAATAGCCGTCGTTGGTCAGCCGGTATATCATAAATGGCATTGCGACACCGACGCAGGTAAAGCAACGTGTGCAAATCGTCAGTCACCAGCATGAAAGCCGTTGATTGGCCGCTTGTGCTTTTTAGAAGACATATACTGTGCCGAAGTACATTCGTGTGAGGTTAGCGGCGGTCCGAACACAAGCGTCGTCATCGTCGAGGAAAACGGGTAAGTTGGTGTTTTTTTTCGAATTGTTTGCGGATTTTTTTCGTCACGAAGGTGTGAGTGAACTACCTCATCGTTGGAGTGTGTCCTGGTTTTACAACTGCAACTGAGCAGATCAGTCAGAAGGAGGTTATTTCCTCCTTTTCAAGTACTGTTCAGTCTTATGCCTCTCATCTGACAGATGTCGACTGTTCGAGTCAGTTTTCCTTTCATTCCTTAAATCTTGGTCAGTCTCTAATCACTCCTTGCAGTTTCGCATTTCTTTCTCTCCTCTAGGACCATCACTCTCCGTATTATATTTCCCATGTATTAAGCTGTTCCCATTACATTATAATTTGTCTTTATGATGGCATTCTGGCTCTGCTTCTTCTTGTCATCACCACGCGTCTAATACAGAGGATGATAGTTGAAAAATAAATGGCTCTGCCCTCAAAGATCGTCACGGTCAATCGTCCGTCCATAATGTTTCTTTAGAACGAAAATTCAGTCGATTTCCATATGGTAACCTTGTGTCTGGTTCCTCTTCAGGAAACTGTAGCTGTGGTGCATTGCTCTGTTTATGCATATATTGTCGCGTCCTTCTCGTAACTGATATTCATTACCGTAATTACAGATGCGTGAAAGACACCTACCTGATGAGCCAAATCAAATATACCGGTCGTCTGACTGCAGTGTCCGAAAGTCCGGCCTTTAAGTTCGCCGATACGCCCACTTTGCATATTAGGTGCCAGATTCGTCTGACGCTCAGTGATGGCCAGCCCTGTCAGGTAACTTCGATTTTCTCGTTGTTCGATTGACAGTTGCGCAGGATTTTAAAGCTTTTATCATTGCGCATTACAATTTGTTTTGTCAGGCAAAGTAAGTAATACGTTAATTTTAAAAGCCTTCTACCGTTTATTAAAGGTACACTTTGCTACTCATAATACAGAAAGTTTTTTATAATAAGGAACAAAAAAGAAACCATCTTAAAGTGAAGTTCCACCTCAAGAGTGCGTTTGATTTCTGTCCTATTTCGTATTTTATTCGATGACAACAGCTGCTAATTCTTGAATATCTTCTAGTCAAGCGAAGCTTTGATAAACTTAGTATAAATCTGAAATACCAGAACCATTGCGGATATCACATGCACAGTTTAGTTATTTCTAATCTTATCATTTCATCCTGACGATTTTCGAAAATCGCACTGTTACAGGGATTAATTTTTACTGTTTTTCTTCACTTCACTTCATGAAGTATATACAGTATTATATAACATGGCAAGTGTTTAATATACCATATATATTGTGCATATTTATGCGCACTTATCATGCGTTATAGTACTGTACCCATCATCATGTCACACATACTTATCATAGTGCTACTATGATTTTCGACAGCGAATTCAATACTGCATGGTATAGCATGGTATCGTATCCGATATGATACATCTAATAGCATTGCACCATATTATATATTACCTTATGAATCGAAAATAAAATATCTGCAGACTTAATAGTCTTATGGTACAGTACGATAGTGCGTACCGTACTGCCTAAATGGCATGCATGCGCAATATAATTCCGTTAATAATATATTTCCGTCATTTCATGTTGCATCGCACCGTTGATCACAATTATTATATAGTATCCCAAAGACCCAATAACCGTACTCCACAGTACCGTATGACAGCACGCGCCAAAGACAGTCTACTATCTACCATGCAATGAATACATGCTACGCCTGCTTTATGCTACTCTACTTAGAGCCAGGCCACATGTATAGTCTGTGTATATGGATTTCTTCGTTTTCGGCAAGGAATGCAAACATCTGGCAAATGCACTTGACTTAAACGCTTCAGGAATCTCATTCATGATTTGTTCACACTGCCATTTTCCAGTAAATGTTTTCTGCGGCAAAAAGAATACTCTTTTAAGGACATGCATGACTCGAGAATACTACATAGTATGAGAGTACCTACCGCACTCTCTGGTATGTTGGGCATTCAGTATATGATAGATCTTGAAGTACAGTGCATGTATCCTATGCCATATTGTGCCTTATGCAGCAACGTACCATCATGCCATTTAATGATTTACAGACCTAATAATCATATTTCGTACAATATGATATTAAGTACGGTACCACAGTGCAGGGCTGTATGGACATATCTGTACAACATATGATAAAATGCATAAAAGTAGGCTATATCATCTTACCGTATTACGCAATAACTGCAGGTATACATGTCTTTAACGAATTGACAAATTCATTCGAAAGTACTAAAAAGTGACAGCTATGTCTGCCTTAATTTGGAATGAAATTCTTGAGGCATTTAAGTCAAAGACAGTCGTGTTATTTGGTAAGTGTTTGTTGCGTTACTGGGAACGATGAAACCCTACCTCAATTGTCCTTAAAGTTGTTCATTGATATTTATGCATATTTATTTCTGTTGTATACTGTCATTCTGTAACCAATAGAACGGTTAGCGAACTGAGAGCAAATTAGTTATGAAACTAATACAGTGTTAAATCACTTAATTATATCAAAAAAATTAATAGGCTTTAAGTTCATTCCTCGTTTTAAAAAAGTACATTTCTAACAAATGTTCTTTATTTCAGAGATCATCAAGCAGCTGCAATGCCAATGATCGGCGACGAAGAAGCGTTCGTTCTAGTAACATTGTATCTTCTGAGGATGGAGCAGATATCGATGTTTACTCAAACAGTCTTGTCATTCTAGACGTCGAGGAGAGTCCGGGTGAGTGGAAATGAACATTTCAGAAGCGATCGGCTTACTGCTCTTAAAGGCCTTCCAAATATACCTTGAGGTGGAACATTGCATGATAAACTTATGCACTGGGCGCATGGCAGTTGCCCAGCCAAACCCAGATGCTATCTTCTGCCCACTGAATGGACAACATAATGACCTGTCGCTTTCCTTAAAGAACACAGTAGGACAGTGGTCTGAAGCTTTCTATCTGAAAAATTGAGTCAGTGTTCAGAATATCATTATCCTGAAAACCCCTCCTTCAAGGCAGACCTGCACAAACAATTTCCACTATCTTTTTCTAGCTAAATAGTCCATTTGGGTTCATGACAAGTAAGTGACTGACAGTGGACAGTGGCACACTCAGCAGCAATTGCCAGGGCATGAGATCAAAGCCTTGGTGGTCACCTACTGCACATGACAATGGCGTGTCTGCGTAAGGCTTGATTTATGGAGAGCCGTTTCAAACGATAGCATTATGGCAGATTTAATTTGTGACTCATTGGTCATGTGATGGGCTAACTTTACTCAAACAGGTCTATTTCTATCACTTGCTAATCATTACTATCGTCTCGTGAATTAGAAAATTGCCCTTGATATCGACTAAGTACACCCACCCTCCCC